AGTAGCCAGCCAATACTAACCAAGTAGGCAGCGATTTTCACCGGCAGCCGGCTACTTTTGACAACCCTGCTGACGGCATATTGCTGGTGGTAACCCTGGTAACGCTGTAATGAAATAGCACCTCATCCAGGGGATAGAAGCAATACTCCTTGGTGGTTCATGCTACACAAACTGGGTACCATTAAAGTCTTGACCTTGAGCCCTGTTCTTGTCCTCTCCCTCTCCCCCCTCCTTCTCCTCCTCTTAACCTTGTAAGTCCCAAGACCAACCAACATCAATTTTCTCCTAACAACACTAACACTTTATTAAGAGAAAAAGTTATAAGAGGTTATGAAATTAATGATCACCAAAGGGAAATTGCTTTACACTTTTATCAAATTCACTCAACTGATTCTTTAGGGATTCAAATGTACATGTATGGATTTAGCCTGCATAGCAGGTGCTTGAAAGTAGTGGGCACAAGAAAAAACGGGCGCGCGAGAAGTCCTTCACGTGTCTCCCTCAAGCGCCCATTCTCTCTTTCGCCCACTACTTCTAAGCAGGCTAGTATGGATCAATCATTCTGGAGATTTGTACTGTGTGTAAAAGGTAAACCAGAAATTTGAACCCATACCGTAGGAGACCAGTTCAAATCTCTTTTTTCATTGGTTTTTCATACAGGAAATGCAGTCCTGTTGGTTATATTTGCAGTTATTGGTCATGATAACAACAAGTCTAACAGAGGAAACTTGGCTTTGTACAATATTCTGCAGATTATCTTCTCAATTGAGTTTGTGCTTTGTGTACCAGGGATATTATGGTACTTAGGTATGTGATGGTAAAATGGAACAGTCATCACCATAATTATTATTATCGGCATGTCTTGTGCAATAATTTATTCTCCAATAATTTCTTTGCTTGACTTGTACTTGTCTTTTATCATGTTTTTAATTGTTGACCCTAGCCTTTGTTATTTTTTGACTGTGGCAAGATTAGCTCAGTCAAAAGAGTGCCTAACAGCAGAGAAGGATGATCTTGGGTGCGATTTTCAGGGTCGTACTATCACTCAGGGACTTGAAATAACTGAGAAATGAAGGTACTTCCTTTGCCCTGCAAACGGCGAGACCTTCACGTGGCTCGGGTGACCACGAAAAATGTTTTTTTGTTGTTGTTGTTTTGGTTTTACAAGCTTTTCTGGACACAGGCCTGCCCAGAGGGAATGGGCACGAACGGGACTCATAGGACCCATGCAAGGTGCCATCCCTACCCAATCCTACAACCCGTAAAGGTTGGCCGCAGCACCGGGGTCTACGTCCCCTACTCTTTTCGAACAGTGGTGTGGGTTCTTTTACGTCCCACAAGAACAGATCGGTGAAAGTGCTGTGAGATGGGACCTACGGTTTTTCGTCCTCATCCGAGAAGGCTAGAAAGTCTAACCACTTGCAGATGTCATTACAAAGGCGGCACTTTCTTCTCAGTTATTTAAAAACGCTAAGTGTTGGTCCGGCCGGGGTTTGAACCCGCGACCTCCCGCTCAGCAGACCGGCGCTCTCCCAACTGAGCTAACCAGGCGGCGGTTAAATGGCGGTCCCGTCTCCAGTAAGAGACGTAAAAGTATCGCCTCAATTAGAACTTTCGTGCTAAATACATGTACATTGACACTCAAATAAAGCGCGTTTTTTTCTCAACAGTCAAAGTTTTAAGGTTTAACAGAAAAAAGCCTTTGCCAGATGCAGAAGACATAGATTATGTAAACTCCTATATCAACCATGGTGTATCAGGCTCTGTTTCCGTAACAGGTTACAGGTCAGTAATTAAAGTTAAAAATGACATAGAAAAAAACTACTCATATTATTCCTTTCATTGTTTGCAATGCACGACTTAGACCCGAGATTTGTTTGTTTCAATCCCCAATCAACACCTGAGCATTAAGGTGCGGAAAAACAGGTAACAAAAAACGTGCAACTTGGCTTGAAACATTGTTGCAAAACGATTTGACTAGCGATGTTGCGCGTTTTACCACTCATGTTTAAACCTGTTAACAACCTGATTTGTTGCAAGACATGTTTGATGTGGGTGGTATTAATAATGCGGAACATTGCTATTCATCTCGTTTTGCAGCAATGTTGCAAAGTTGTACGTTTTTTTTTTTGTTGTTGCCCGTTTTCCGTATCTTTACATGCAGTTGAAGAGAGCAAGGATGTACATATTGTGATTCAAATGATGACTGTTGTTTTACGAAAATAACATTTCAACTAAGGATTAAACAGTTAAATCACAACATGCATGTGATTGATTGAAAATTTCTCACTTAGGGACAATGATTACTTGGACGAAGTTCTGGAAAAACAAGCAGACATGATCCGTTACTTGCAGCAACACAATGCCAACTTAGGCAAAAGACTGATGAAACTCACTGCACAGCAAAGGAGAAGCAGTCTTCAGTCTTAACATTGAACAAGTCAGTTAGCGGTGATCTAGTTTGATGTGGACGAGAGTATAACGTTGCAGTGCGTAGCGTGTCTGTTTCTATTTGAGGAAGACATTTTTGCGCGGACATAATAATTGTAATGACAACAGTTTTTGCATCGGTTCTCCCACGCACTTGAGTCGTGATAATGTATTTAGTATAATTTTATGGATTGCGCCAAGAGAGCAGGCAAGATGAAGCGAATCTTGTGTTGAGCTGCTGATAAGGCTGGTTAACTGTTGTGCGATTAGCACAAGAAACATGACTAAACGTTATGGTGCATTCTCGTCCACGGTGTCCATCGGCTTTTTGACCGCCTGGCAAAAAGGAAGTACAAGCTACGGGCTCTATGGACGAAAATGCCGGTGAAAAAGTGTAAGAACGTTACATGTAAGCCTGTACAGTGTTGTTCGGTTCTCAACTTACTTGCGCTTTTCTTATACTGGTTCCCACTACTGCATAAGTGAGTTTCAAGAAAAATGAAAAAAATGTTTTCTCCTGTGCTTGCCAGGTTACTATGCTAATGCTTTTCGCACAAGTACAAACGAGGCTCAAGTTATAAATAAGTGTACGTGTTGAAATGGGCTGGCAATTGCTGTACGTTGCCTAATTCAAAATGATATGTTAGTGAACTGCGACTGTATACTGCATGGCGATGCTGTATTTTCCCAAATTATTTGCGCCCCGCCTTTATGGTCTGTTGTGTCGCTCAGCAAGTAATGTATACGAGTATAATAATATATTTTGTTAACATAAAAAACGTTTTTCATCCTGTGCAAAAAAAAAACCTGACTAGTTTTGCGCTAGCACAGTGATTTAGTGCGCCAAATGACCGTTGTAAGACTTTATTTTCTGGTATGTCCACTCTTGTAACATTCTGACGTTTCTTAAATTGATGCAACAAGGGTTAAAACTTCACAGAACCAAAAAATAGGCTTCATCGAGCAGCCAGGACGAAAAATGCTTACATTTTGTACCAAATTGAGGAGTGAAAGCATGAAGTTACTATGACTTCTTAGAAGAAGATGTTCGAAAGCGTACGATTCTATGTTGCTGTCTTTTCCGTTTGTCAGTCAATGATCTGCAGTAGAACAATATTAGCAAGAAAAAAGTTTGCGCGGATTTAAATTTAGTTTTCACTCATAGTTGAGATCTTGAATTCTTTCTCTTCCTTCTTCTACGGACGTGATGCTATTCGATTGCTGTAAGACAAAAGTAACAATGTTAAGAGTAAGTATTAAATTAAACCTGATAGTTGTAAACTCTTCTTTTGATATGGTATCCTTTCTCTCTTTACTGTAACAAAGACTTGTGGGGTGGTCTATTACAGGGTTTCGCCCGGCAAAGTAACATATCAATGAGCAGTTGCGACTACCTCAAATAAGCGACCATCAGTCGGAAACACGAGAATTCGACCCAGTCAAAGCCCTTTAGCTACAGTGTAGAACCTCTCGTAAGCTAACGCAACCACGTTTTTGAAGTGACGGTCTCCCCTTTTACCTTATTCTCCTTAATTTTCGCGTGTTCTTAAATTCGCGATTTTAAAAAATGCGCGAACTTAAAAGACCCGCGAAAAATAACGACCGCGAACTTTGATCTCGCCAAATTTAATGAACATAGAAAATCATGTATTTGTGTTTTCAAGGGTCCTAAACAATTTTTAACACAAGGTGTTAGTACAAGGAGCTATCATCTATCAACTTAAGATGTTAATTTTTAAAATTTTTCAAACTAAACTAGTGAGCGGCACTCTGCGAACTGTTGCTGTAAAACTTATTTGTTACTTATTTTAGCTAAAACCGTGGCCCCAAAGTTTTCTCACGCCTTGCGTGAAAATTTCACTGCTGCGCCTGTTCCTTTTCGTAAATCCGGCCAAACCTTCAATGTTTGCGACCATCATTATTTTAAGTCATATTATGGCTAAAATACAGGCGTTTAGTACTTGATTGTAAAACTCCCTGAAGAAGTCTACGATAGTTAGACGAAACGCGTAGGAGAATAAACAAGTTTTAAAGCAACAGTTCGCAGAGTGCTGCTCACTAGTTTAGTTTTAAAAATTTTAAAAATTGTCACATCGCTAAAGGGTGGGAAAAGGCTGGCATCACCCAACTATTAGATGAATCGTTTAGTCTTCCCCCTGAGGATCCATTTGAAGAGATTGAAGGTTATATTGAGATCTCCTAGGAAGGACATGTAACGATACTCGATAATGACTCGGAAGAACAAGAAGACTTTTTTCATTACTGTAAGACTGACTTTTAGAGGAATACGGCTGCCGCTAAGGGACAGCATATTGGTTTTGTTTCAATTGTTGATTAACGTACAATTTTTGTAAAAAAGAGAAAATAAAGTCACTTAATCGTCAATTTCGCGAAATTAAATTCCCTGCAAACACAATTTTTCTCCGCGTTCGCGAAATTAAAGACTCGCGAAATGTGCCGAGAAAATTTTCGCGAAATTTAAGTCCCGCGAAAATAAAGGAGAATAAGGTAGTCCCGCTATTCTTTTTCCCCCTCCCCCTCCCCCTCCCCCTCCCCCTCCCCCACAGAAACGTCAGATACTCATGCTAGTGAAGTCTAACAACTTGTATATTTTTTTACCTTTAAAGTTGATTGTAAATCCCGTGTTAATCACACTGCCATCGGTAGTAAACTTCAAAAACAAATTTTGTCCTGTACTGGTTACCACTTCTCCAGTGTTTACTCCACTCCATTTTTCAAACTGAGAAGACGTCGAGTCACCATCGTACACATACAAGTAATCATAGTTAGCTTCGGTTACGAAATATGTAAAAGTGAGCTTAATCCGATGGGAGGAAACTAATTCCCATGTGCAGTCTTCATTATCGGAATAAGAGGACGGGTATCCTGGTGATTTTATTATTCTGTTCGCGTCGTCTTTGGTTCCAGAGCAGCTTGCAGCGCTAATGTAAACCGTCAGCGTTGGAGGCACAACATCTAAGAAGTTAAAAAAAGATTTAAAAAGGGACCATGAAACAATTACTAAGGTATTCACCTTGCCTGATCCTTATGGCGTCTTCCCAGGCCTTCTCGGTCAATGTATTTCGGTGACGTATTCGAGACGAATGGATCATGTGACCCGAAACGTCACCGCGAGGAATAATGAGGCCTTGGGACTAGGCAATGCTCAACTGGCACCCATCTCCAAATAAGCGCCTCTCGACCTCTCTCCGTTGAGTTAGCACGCCCTCCACTTAAGGCAGTATATTTTAATATTTTAAGTGCCCATTCCTTCTAGGATAGCGACAAAACTCAACTACGCTAGGTGTTTGAAAGCTAAGTATATGTATCACACACACACACACACAAATGTGCGACCTAATAAAACACCACCGCTTTTCCACTATACATGAGATGGGCAGTCATAATGAAATTGGTCACAGCATTCCTCGGACTCAGAAGTAAATCTATCGATAATGAACGTAAATTATGGCCAATCCGGTTGTGAAAATCCTACCCCAGCAACCTATTCCCAGGTCCGACAACAGAAGATGGCCATAATTTATTTCTCTACTGCTGTTTTGTTGATAAAATGATAAATTATATGGTAAAAAAGTCCGTTAAGACAGTCCGGGGAAAATAACTTACTATGAGCAATCTCGCAGTTTCGCCCTAACCAGTCTTTTGTACAGGTACAAGTATAATTCTTGTAATCTCCTACGCAAGATCCACCGTTCTCACAGGGACTGCTGTAGCATTTGTTCATCAGGTCTGTAAATACAAAATTATAGACATATGCATCAGGCTCAGTTAGTATGGAGCAAGGGCTTCCTCACTTGTTGTGTTTACTATACCAGAAATTTGCTATATGATCTTTCAGTAAACATTATGCTTATAGGGAAATTTCGGAGGAAAAAAGCAAATTATGGCCAATCCAGTGGTGAAAATCCTACCCCAGCAACCTATTCCCGAGTCCGACAACGGAAGATGGCCATGATTTATTTTTCTACTGCTGTTTTGTTGATAAAATGATAAATTATATGGTAAAAATGTTTGTTAAGACAGTCCGGGAAAAATAACTTACTATGAGCAATCTCGCAGTTTCGCCCTAACCAGGCTTTTGTACAGGTACAAGTATAATTCTTGTAATCTCCGACGCAAGTTCCACCGTTCTCACAGGGACTGCTGTAACATTCGTTCAGGTCTGTAAATACAAAATTATAGACATATGCATCAGGCACAGTTAGTACGGAGTAAGGGCTTCCTCACTTGTTGTGTTTACTATACCAGGAATTTGCTATATGAGCTTTCAGTGAACATTATGCTTATAGGGAAATTTCAGAGGAAAAAAGCAAATTATGGCCAATCAAGTGGTGAAAATCTTACCCCAGCAACCTATTCCCAGGTCCGACAACGGAAGATGGCCATAATTTATTTCTCCACTGCTGTTTTGTTGATAAAGTGATGAATTATATAGTAAAAAAGTCCGTTAAGAAAGTCCGGGAAAAATAACTCACTAATAGTATGAGCAATCTCGCAGTTTCGCCCTAACCAGTCTTTTGTACAGATACAAGTATAATTCTTGTAATCTCCGACGCAAGATCCACCGTTCTCACAGGGACTACTGTAGCATTCGTTCAGGTCTGTAAATACAAAATTATAGACATCAGGCACAGTTAGTACGGAGTAAGGGCTTCCTCACTTGTTGTGTTTACTATACCAGGAATTTGCTATACGATCTTTCAGTAAACATTATGTTCATAGGGAAATTTCAGAGAAAAAAAGTAACAAGTGCTTTTGCTTTGGTTTAAGCTGAAATCGTACCTTTCGCTCTCCATCTTGCTTTTAACTCCCATGTCTGGCTTGGTGCCTCTTTGAAGTGTAGACCCACCGCTGATGCTAGCAAAGGTTTTAAAAGAGAAAAAAAATGGGAAATAAGTGAGAGGAACTCAATTTCAGTAATCATATGTAATCATATATATCCACACACATAGAGAAGGACTCGACTAATGAGACCAATTCTAGAACTAAAGTTATTCACAGAGAAGCCCCACCCACACGATTCCGGATATTTTTGAAACAGCACGAAAGCAGTGAATCTACTCACTCATCCATGTCCTATTCGAGCTAAAATTATGTGGTTTTCAAATATCCAGATTCGTGCGAACGGGGCCTGATCATCAGTCATGCTGATCTGCGGCCACCCGGCCAACGCATTCACTGGGACGTATTCGATCTTAGTGGAACTGCATGAATTAGCGAGAGTTTAAAAACGAGTTCTTGAGCTGTTCTTCGATGTTTCGTGGGTAAATGAATTTCAGTTATACCGGCAATGTTATGCATTTCACCACAGGTGAAGCGTTGCCACCCCTTCATGCTTCAATGGACCTATAAAGGCATGGTCAGTTGATTTTGTGCAAGGGCAAGTTACGCGGAGAAAAAGTGAATGGACAGTTAAGGTTTAATTGCGTCAGCCACTAAGGGAAAGGCGATATAAAATCGCCAATATCTGAGTTCTCTGACACAATTAATACCCCAGTCATAGAAATGCAGGAGAAGAGGCAATTTCCTACAGGGAAAAGACATTTGGTTTAGTAGACCCCTGTATTCCACTCCACAATAGATCAAAGACCTTAAGATTACGACTACGAGTAGGAGATTTAACTGAAAATAGACACCCCAGAAAGTTTCATTGTACTTTTGATTCACCAGAAAAAGTTAGCATTGTTATCTGTATTGAAGGAGGTTATAAGACCTCTCCCGATCGCAAAATGACTTAAAACTTTTAACATTTGATAACTTGCTTCGCGCTGCTACAACATTCTCACTAAAACTCGTCGTCGAATGAAGACGGCTATCACGTTTTCCCGCCAAAATGACGCGGGCTCACGCGTACCCCACTAAGAAAATGTGGTCCTCGTGGTTGTTAAAGTTCTCTTCTTAGGGTGGGTTCCTTTGGGATGATCCGGATCAGGATTAGTGATCAAAGATCACTCGGATCATGTTGCATCAAATTAACCGATGACTCCACTCTGAACAAGGATTTATCGGTTATGATGGAAACATGATCCGAGTGATCACGGATCCCTGATCCAGCTGATCCGGATTTCCGGATTTCCGGATTTTTCATTAAGGTCTCTAATATAATTCTACCTGACCAGGTGTTGCCTTCTGCGTCATTCAAGTTATAAAAAGAAATGGGTGCATCGGTCAAATCATGCCCCGTCACTGGTATAAAGGCAATCTCTGAAGCAAGCACAGTTGTTTGAGATTCTCTTTCTGCCAGCCAACATGTTTTAACAACTGTCATACACTTGGTGACGTTGCAGCGTACGTATGATCTTCTGTTTGGTGCCACTCCATAAATCATGTCGTGCATTTTACTGTATCCTAGAATGCTGACAATGCGTCTATCTAGAGCTGTAAAAATAACAAATCGTATTGTCATTCATTGAAAATATTTCTTCAATTCTGAATGGGTTAAATCCACCGGCCAGGCGTCACCCGTTAGCTCAGTTGAGAGAGCACTGGTCTGCCGGGTGGGAAGAAGCGCTTTCAAATCCCGACCGGACCAACCAGGGTCTTTAAAAAGCTGGCGAGATCATCCTGGCTGGTCTAGCTGTAATGTAAGAAATTGCTTCAGTTCGATGATCGCATCATGGTCTGTGCCTTGTCTCCTTCATCCTTCCTTACCAATTAGAAGGGCGCGTTAAAGAACCATACACCTGTTCGAAAAGAGTACTAGAGGAAGTAGGCCCCGGTGGTGTGTTCTATTTCTCACAGGGGGAGGGGACAGTTGAGGCCCGCAGTAATTGGCTACCTCGGATGCTGTTGCAGTGACCCTGTCAAATTGGCAAATCCAAATAAGCGAATCTGAATTCATGATCACAAGCACCTAACGCTGAACAAATAAGTAAGATATTTGCCGATTCCAATACAGCTGACGTAGATTGTATTAATGTCAGCAGAAAATTAAAAAGGACAACTGACGCGTTGGCTCAGCTGTTTTAGAGGGGTAGAGTTAGAAAAAAAGGTGAAAGATTTCACGCGTTACGACAAGATGAAATAGCCGATCAGGTAAATGTTTTAAAGACGGGAACAATGATAATGTGAGTTTGCAAATAGTTTGAGTAAATAATAAAGCAATTTTGGATTCGGCTTTTGACTTATCATATTGTGAAGAACGGAACCTCGGTGGATCCTTATTTCTTCAGGGTTTGGACATCTGATTAGTCACGGTTCTTTTGACGTGTAATTCTGAGGTGACATCTTACCTAACCAACCTTCTTTAACCCCGTACTTGTTCAGGTAGCAAGCTGGTTTACCCCTGAAATATACAAAGTAAGCAAAGCGACACAGATATTTTAACGTGCAATACTCAATACATGTATCGATCTGTGGCTGGCCGGAGTGGGGGGGGGGAACTTTCCGCAATATTTAAGCCATCCGATTGCCATTCTTCTGTCTATATAATTGAATTCTTCCGTCATAAGTAGATCTGCTGTAATATTTTCCTCTTTACATAATTACACAGGAATAGGGCAAAGTGTTTCATTTACCTTGGAACATCCTTGTTACAGACAAAAAGTCTTCTATTTTCAGAATCCAAAAGAAAACTTCGTTGATAAACTGGTGGTATATCTGCCAATAAAATAACAAAAAAAATCATAGTTCAAAAATGCTATTAATTGTTCATCGATGCCACGAGAACTATCTAATCATCTTGTTGGCTCCTGTCGGCTTGGGGCTGGAAAATGGGAGTTAATTCGTAGGTGGCTGATCAAGCCAATCCCTTCCCAACCCCTTGCGCTAAACTCAGTTATACTTGTGAACTTGTTGGGGAAACTAAACTATTATGCGACTGAAGGCATTCCCAACAGTTTGATAGAGTTGTCATTGAAAAGGAATCCGATTTGAAGCGCACGTTTCAACGGTCTAGCAATTCGTCACTTGCCCTGACGCTGTCCAGGTTACTCCCCTAAATTTAATTCAGTCCTACCTGTGTTTTCCTCAAGAGCTTTTTCTCCATACAGTTCGACGCGCATGCACGCAGAATTGATCATAGAAACTGGATAAAACTGAACGTATCTTGCTTTCACTGGAAGTGCCAAGTGATTCTTTGTGGTAAAATGCTCGACCAGGTTTCCTAGGAAAATCTGGAAAGGATTGATAATGCCCTTAATATATTTCGCTCGACTCCGTCAAGAAAAACTGAACCTGCAGGCTGCTGTTACTACTTGTTACTATTTTAAATATATCTCAAAACTACCTTATCAATTCCATTCTGTTGGTAAAATGTCCAAGTTACTCCTTCTGTAGAATATCTAAGCTTGTATGACATCACACTGTCGAAACTGCCACTATTTGTATCACGTGACTGAGATGAAGCCTGTTCAGGGAAAATAGTACACACTTGTAAACGTTGTGAAAGACATCCCACAAAATTCACTTTTTCGTGGTTCCCGGATATTCTGCTGCGTCTTTTTTCGTAAAATTCATTCAAAATTTTCCATGACCAGCAACACAGTTGCAGCAAATAAGACTTTTAGCAATAAAATATAAACAATCACACTTCGTGGGCTGCGATCGGCTCTGTGACCAAAACAAAGCTGTTCCTGAAACTTTTCTTTGTACTCACCGCTGTGATAAAATGAATTTCTCCGAGGTCAATTTGAAGAAAAAGCGGGATTTCATCAGAGGTCGCCGAACACCAAGCACTGTTGAAATTTAACCTTCCACTTGAAGCGTTTGTCTTAGATGGGTCCAAGGAGGAGGAGGATGTCATCTGAGCATCTGAAATGAGTGCTTTCTCGACACCAAGTGCAAAGAACTCTAAACAGATAAATAAAACATAGCTTTGAGTCCGCGCCCTGTAAATTCACAAATGCACTATGGCCAAATAAATGTTAAGTTTAGGGTAATCAGTTTAGAGACTAATATGTGGTCAGGACTGGTGATGGCAAGGCCTGGATTTAGAATACAAATAAAATATATAACCAAAGTTAAAATAACTATAACAACTTCATAAATAGTGGCTGAGGATGAAAGAAGTCAACAACGCAGAAAAATGGTCTGTTATGTACGCCATTAACACACTCCAATAAACAAATCAGCACAAGCTAAACTCTCACAGAGCCTAGGGACGAAGTCTGAATATTAATCTTAGTAGTTGAGTACGAGTTTACACTCGATTTGTTGATAACTTAGCAGCATATTTTAAGTAAAAGAAGTCAGCGCTTCGCAATCTATTTCCTTATTGCTTTTAATCAGAGTGGAATTGGAAATCACTTAAGGCCGCCTTGTCCAACAGAATCACGGTTTACCTCATAATCGTCACTGATTAGTCAACACTGCTTTTTGTTCAATACATCTGTCTAAACTAAGTTCAATCTTTCTCGTTTTTTGCGTAGTTATAAAAACGATAACACCCATACCTTCGGTTGATATTTTTGGTAGAACACAACCATAAATTTCCACTCGAAGAGCACTCTCTTTGTACCATGACCTCGGGTTGATTCGAAGAAAGCGAATTGCAGTGGGGTTTTGATAAGCTGTGGGAACCGCAGTATCTCCGCTATTCACAGTGATGTCAGCCTTTGGAATGAAGACAACCCGTGAATAACATGAATTAAGTAAAAAAATTGCCTGGTCTTTTGTTCTGTACACATAATTTTTAAAAGGTTTCAGTACTGGAGCTGGTGTTCAGTCTTTCGTCTGTCGTTCCATTTTTAAAAATGATTTTAAACAAATGTTCAGTAGGTCAGGGAATATCGACGGAACACTGACTCGGACGGGTTTAAACTGATCTGAACGTGATTAGTTAAACCTGTATAGAGAGATTTTCCAGTCTCATCATGATTTAAGTCAGTCATGAAGGATCATAGGCGTTCCAAAAATGGTCACCAAGGTAACAGATTGTACTGACTTTATTATTTTAAAAAAAAACTGGGCGAACTTAACTTTAACAATTTATAAACAATGACTTGAACTTGAGTTTCTCAGCATAAGACACAAACTGAGTGAGCCCAAGAGCCATACGTATATGGCTCTTGGTGAGCCGTCATAACCACCTTTGGCAGCAACGCTTTTTCCTTCCTCCAATCATCTCCATTAGGACTTGTAAACACATCAAACAATTTGACATGTGCTGTGCTATTTGGTTTTCCCTGTACGGCGATCTGTTTCAGTCATTAAAAGAAGCAAAGCATAAGGCAGTTTGGCAATGAAATATGTTTTTGAAACATTACGGAACTTCCTTAACATTAGGTCTGTCACCATGCCGGTATGAAAGGTGTGCATGTCCCTCAAAAAACTTAAAGAGAGTTCCCTGTCAGCGGCTGGGAGACTAGGTCCAACCTAGAGCCCCGAATCTACCGGATCTAGAGGTGAGACCTTCTAGGTTGTTACCCGTATGCCATGATTATCGACCCCTTCCTAATAAAACGAAATGGCGATGGGAACATTGCATCGGCTCATAAACCAGGTTACCCTTAACACGAACACTGAGAAAGACTTGCCAAGACGTGCAATACAGGGAGTTTCCGACACTGTATTTCTTTAAATTGACTCTATGATTCCGTATTCCACTTTATCCGGGCATCTATGACATCACCGAGCAACCGTACACTATTACCCGCGAATGTTGACCACTCGATAAAATTTACTTTCTAATTCATCCCACAAATTTGTACACCAAGAAGTATTTCTTCTAGGAGATATATAACCCATCCCTAAATGACTAGTCCCTCAGGAAGAACCTCGGGAAGCAAAATTAACTGTTTCCCTCGGGAAATGAAAAATATTATTTAACTTACCAACTTTAGTCGAACTGGTGATTCAAAATTAATTTGCAGAAACTGATTTCCATCAGTCGATGTATTCCTGCCCACTGGTGTCCAGTATCCTTCTCCTCCAAGCCTGGCCTGGTGAGGACCGCGGCCATGTGAATCACTGGAATCTTTATGAAATGAAGATGCTTGAATTTGGCTTTCTTTGATGCGCCCACTTCTCATCCCAAGCGGCTGTGTACAAGACGTGTCTGCTAAACAAAAGTGCACTAGTAAACGCTAACCATATTTAAATATATAGCTTTAGGCTAAAGGCGAAACTTTCAAGTGCTCTTTTAAGGAATGTCTTTCTCAAGTAATTCAATTTTTGCTGTAAACGGAAAGAAAACTGAATTCCACATTAAAAGAATGGACCTGAGCCAGCGATCAATTGAAAAGCAATATCCGGTTAGCGGATAACTTTAAAAAGTACGTCAACTAAATGAATGGCATACCTGGGCCAGCGATACAGTCATGTGACACCGGTCAGGGGATACCTTTTTTGACAGCTGTCAAACTGGCCATAGCATTGACGTTCAATACCAAGTTAAACACGGACTAGGGTATGCCTTGCACTCCCAGCGAGTAAGTGTGACATTTCACTTCCACTTATATGACGGCCATTGACGGGGTGAGACGTAAGGACGATTTTGTAAGCACCAAAATTTCTTAGATGCAACTTACATAATCGAATGTTCTTACCAATGGTGCTCCGCTGCGCACACAAAAGCTCCGCTATAGCAGCCACTTATACAATGCTTTATGCAAAAATGTCTGACCGGCGGGATAAATTGCGATTCACCATTTTCACATAATGCACCTTGTTTACCCCCCCCCCCCCCCCCCCCCCCTTTTTCCCCCCCTTTTCCCCCCTTTCCCCCCCAAACAAAAAAAAAAAAAGTTATTGCATATAATAAGGGGGGGGGGGGAAAAAAAAAAAAAAAAAAAAGACAAAAAAAAAGGAGGAGAGAGAGGGAGAGGGGGTGGAGGGAGGAGGGGGGGTGGCGGGGGGGCGGTGGCCGGATAAAAAAAAAATTGAACGTATCTTGCTTTCACTGGAAGTGCCAAGTGATTCTTTGTGGTAAAATGCTCGACCAGGTTTCCTAGGAAAATCTGGAAAGGATTGATAATGCCCTTAATATATTTCGCTCGACTCCGTCAAGAAAAACTGAACCTGCAGGCTGCTGTTACTACTTGTTACTATTTTAAATATATCTCAAAACTACCTTATCAATTCCATTCTGTTGGTAAAATGTCCAAGTTACTCCTTCTGTAGAATATCTAAGCTTGTATGACATCACACTGTCGAAACTGCCACTATTTGTATCACGTGACTGAGATGAAGCCTGTTCAGGGAAAATAGTACACACTTGTAAACGTTGTGAAAGACATCCCACAAAATTCACTTTTTCGTGGTTCCCGGATATTCTGCTGCGTCTTTTTTCGTAAAATTCATTCAAAATTTTCCATGACCAGCAACACAGTTGCAGCAAATAAGACTTTTAGCAATAAAATATAAACAATCACACTTCGTGGGCTGCGATCGGCTCTGTGACCAAAACAAAGCTGTTCCTGAAACTTTTCTTTGTACTCACCGCTGTGATAAAATGAATTTCTCCGAGGTCAATTTGAAGAAAAAGCGGGATTTCATCAGAGGTCGCCGAACACCAAGCACTGTTGAAATTTAACCTTCCACTTGAAGCGTTTGTCTTAGATGGGTCCAAGGAGGAGGAGGATGTCATCTGAGCATCTGAAATGAGTGCTTTCTCGACACCAAGTGCAAAGAACTCTAAACAGATAAATAAAACATAGCTTTGAGTCCGCGCCCTGTAAATTCACAAATGCACTATGGCCAAATAAATGTTAAGTTTAGGGTAATCAGTTTAGAGACTAATATGTGGTCAGGACTGGTGATGGCAAGGCCTGGATTTAGAATACAAATAAAATATATAACCAAAGTTAAAATAACTATAACAACTTCATAAATAGTGGCTGAGGATGAAAGAAGTCAACAACGCAGAAAAATGGTCTGTTATGTACGCCATTAACACACTCCAATAAACAAATCAGCACAAGCTAAACTCTCACAGAGCCTAGGGACGAAGTCTGAATATTAATCTTAGTAGTTGAGTACGAGTTTACACTCGATTTGTTGATAACTTAGCAGCATATTTTAAGTAAAAGAAGTCAGCGCTTCGCAATCTATTTCCTTATTGCTTTTAATCAGNAACGTATCTTGCTTTCACTGGAAGTGCCAAGTGATTCTTTGTGGTAAAATGCTCGACCAGGTTTCCTAGGAAAATCTGGAAAGGATTGATAATGCCCTTAATATATTTCGCTCGACTCCGTCAAGAAAACTGAACCTGCAGGCTGCTGTTACTATAAATATATCTCAAAACTACCTTATCAATTCCATTTTGTTGGTAAAATGTCCAAGTTACTCCTTCTACAGAATATCTAAGCTTGTACGACATCACACTGTCGAAACTGCCACTATTGGTATCACGTGACTGAGATGAAGCCTGTTTCAAGGAAAATAGTACACACTTGTAAACGTTGTGAAAGACATCCCACAAAATTCCCTTTTTTCGTGGTTCCCGGATATTCTGCTGCGTCTTTTTTCGTAAAATTCATTCAAAATTTTCCATGACCAGCAACACATTTGCAGCAATTAAGACTTTTAGCAATAAAATATAAACAATCACACTTCGTGGGTCGCGATCGGCTCTGTGACTAAAACAAAGCTGTTCCTGAAACTTTTCTTTGTACTCACCGCTGTGATAAAATGAATTTCTCCGAGGTCAATTTGAAGAAAAAGCGGGATTTCATCGGAGGTCGCCGAACACCAAGCACTGTTGAAATTTAACCTTCCACTTGAAGCGTTCGTCTTAGACGGGTCCAAGGAGGAGGAGGATGTCATCTGAGCATCTGAAATGAGTGCTTTCTCGACACCAAGTGCAGAGAACTCTAAACAGATAAATAAAACATAGCTTTGAGTCCGCGCCCTGTAAATTCACAAATGCACTATGGCCAAATAAATGCATGTTAAGTTTAGGGTAATCAGTTTAGAGACTAATATGTGGTCAGGACTGGTGCTGGCATGGCAAGGCCTGGATTTAGAATACAAATAAAATATGAACCAAAGTTAAAATAACTATAACAACTTTATAAATAGTCGCTGAGGATGAAAGAAGTCAACAACGCAGAAAAATGGTGTGTTATGTACGCCATTAACACACTCCAATACGAGCTCCGATCAAAACCTCTCCACTCACGAAACAAATCAGCACAAGCTAAAATCTCACAGAGCCTATGGGACGAAGTCTGAATATTAATCTTAGTAGTTGAGTACGAGTTTACACTCGATTTGTTGATAACTTAGCAGCATATTTTAAGTAAAAGAAGTCAGCGCTTCGCAATCTATTTCCTTATTGCTTTTAATCAGAATGGAATTGGAAATCACTTAAGGCCGCCTTGTCCAACAGAATCACGGTTTACCTCATAATCGTCACTGATTAGTCAACACTGCTTTTTGTTCAATACATCTGTCTAAACTAAGTTCAATCTTTCTCGTTTTTTGCATAGTTAACACGATAACACCCATACCTTCGGTTGATATTTTTGGTAGAACACAACCATAAATTTCCACTCGAAGAGCACTCTCTTTGTACCATGACCTCGGGTTGATTCGAAGAAAACGAATTGCAGTGGGGTTTTGATAAGCTGTGGGAACCGCAGTATCTCCGCTATTCACAGTGATGTCAGCCTTTGGAATGAAGACAATCCGTGAATAAAACGAATTAAGTAAAAAAATTGCCTGGTCTTTTGTTCTGTACACATAATTTTTAGAAGGTTTCAGTACTGGAGCGGGTGTTCAGTCTTTCGTCTGTCGTTCCATTTTTAAAAATGATTTTAAACAAATGTTCAGTAGGTCAGGGAATATCGACGGAGCACTGACTCGGACGGGTTTAAACTGATCTGAACGTGATTAGTTAAACCTGTATAGAGAGATTTTCCAGTCTCATCATGATTTTAAAAATTGGAAGGTAAGTCAGTCATGAAGGATCATAGGCGTTCCAAAAATGGTCACCAAGATAACAGATTGTACTGACTTTATTATTTTAAACTTAACTTTAACAATTTATAAACAATGACTTGAACTTGAGTTTCTCAGCATAAGACACAAACTTAGTGAGCCCAAGAGCCATACGTATATGGCTCTTGGTGAGCCGTCATAACCACCTTTGGCAGCAACGCTTTTTCCTTCCTCCAATCATCTCCATTAGGACTTGTAAACACATCAAACAATTTGACATATGCTGTGCTATTTGGTTTTCCCTGTACGGCGATCTGTTTCAGTCATTAAAAGAAGCAAAGCATAAAGCAGTTTGGCAATGAAATATGTTTTTAAAACATAACGGAACTTACTTAACATTAGGTCTGTCACCATGCCGGTATGAAAGGTGTGCATGTCCCTCAAAAAACTTATAGAGAGTTCCCTGTCAGCGCCTGGGAGACTAGGTCCAACCTAGAGCCCCGAATCTACCGGATCTAGAGGTGAGACCTTCTAGGTTGTTACCCGTATGCCATGATTATCGACCCCTTCCTAATAAAATGAAATGGCGATGGGAACATTGCATCGGCTCATAAACTAGGTTACCCTTAACACGAACACTGAGAAAGACTTGCCAAGACGTGCAATACAGGGAGTTTCCGACACTGTATTTCTCTAAATTGACTCTATGATTCCGTATTCCACTTTATCTGGGCATCTATGACATCACCGAGCAACGGTACACTATTACCCGCGAATGTTGACCACTCGATAAGATTTACTTTCTAATTCATCCCACAAATTTGTACACCAAGAAGTATTTCTTCTAGGAGATATATAACCAATCCCTAAATGACTAGTCCCTCGGGAAGAACCTCGGGAAGAAAAATTAACTGTTTCCCTCGGGAAATGAAAAATATTATTTAACTTACCAACTTTAGTTCCACTGGTGATTCAAAATTTATTTGCAGAAACTGATTTCCATCAGTCGATGTATTCCTGCCCACTGGTGTCCAGTATCCTTCTCCTCCAAGCCTGGCCTGGTGAGGACCGCGGCCATGTGAATCATTGGAATCTTTATGAAATGAAGATGATTGAATTTGGCTTTCTTTGATGCGCCCACTTCTCATCCCAAGCGGCTGTGTACAAGACGTATCTGCTAAACAAAAGTGCACTAGTAAACGCTAACCATATTTAAATATATAGCTTTAGGCTAAAGGGGAAACTTTCAAGTGCTCTTTTAAGGAATGTCTTTCTCTAGTAATTTAATTTTTGCTGTAAACGGAAAGAAAACTGAATGCCACCTTAAAAGAATGGACCCGAGCCAGCGATCAATTGAAAAGCAATATCCGGTGAGCGGATAACTTTAAAAAGTACGTCAACTAAATGAATGGCATACCTGGGCCAGCGATACAGTCATGTGACACCGGTCAGCGGATACCTTTTTAACAGCTGTTAAACTGGCCATAACATTGACGTTCAATACCAAGTTAAACACGGACTAGGGTATGCCTTGCACTCCCAACGAGTAAGTGTGACATTTCACTTCCACTTATATGACGGGGTGAGACGTAAGGACGATTTTGTAAGCACCAAAATTTCTTAGATGCAACTTAGATAATCTAATCTTCTTAGTACCAATGGTGCTCCGCTGAGCGCACAAAAGCTCCGCTATAGCAGCCACTTGTACACAATGCTTTATGCAATAATGTCTGACCGGCGGGATAAATTGCGATTCACCATTTTCACATAATGCACCTTGTTTACCCCCGCCCACCCCCCCCCCCCAATTTTTTTTCTCTTGAGACGACTGTTATGCCAAAGAGAAATTAGAAACAATGGTTATGCAACAATTGAAGGGGGAGGTGGTAAACAAGGTACATTAAGGTCTAAGTTAAAATGGTGAATTCCCTCTCTTGGCCAGTCTGACTGAATCAAAGAATGTGTTACATCTTAAACAATGTATACGTTGGAAAAAAGATTAATTTTTCTTTCTTTTTCGTCGATGTTTCATTTATTATCTGAACAATGTAGTGTTTACTCTCCTTACCTAAGTGAATGATTTCTTGAAAGATAAATGTTTCTGAGAAAAATGTTTTGTAGACAGTCAAACAGCAACTCGGAAAAAAATTCGAGGTTTCCCGACAGGGGTGGGACCCATGATATGATCTTCTAGTTGACAGTTCGGATGCTCTACCGCTGATCATGAGCAACAGGGGACGTGTGGGACCAGACCTAAGGCTATTGAACCTACAAACATCCTTCATACTGTTAGGATTGGAATTTCGTAGCGATGAAAAAGAAGCTGGGGAACAAATGGGGGTAATGTAAATATTTCTGGTTTTTGTACATACCTAACACATAGAAGAAGAATGACCTATAATTAGTTTCTGTGGCCCTCTCCAGCATTTCTCCTGAGTTGGGATCTGTGCAGTTGTCATGATGCCTACTGCATGTTAGTGTTACAATCACGTGGGATACATGCACGTGACCAGGCTGTGCGAGTCCCTTGGGATCAACTGAAACATTGCATCCAGCGGAGAATTCATCTTGTAGTTGAAAGGTGTTGAACTATCAAAGTACAACAGATGGATGGTAAATGTTGTTAGACGTTAAATTTTTCATCAACCTCAGCATGCTACCGAGATCTTCTCAAACCACAAAGTTGATTGACGCCCACCCAAAATTTGATCCAGATTTTTAAAGAGATTTTTATGATGTGTATAAATTATTGTGATGATCCTGAGACCATGGTGATTAAGTTGTTGTTGTTGTTGTTGTTGTTGTTGTTTACGATAGTATTGATGTCATGCATAAGAAAGGGGAAAACTGAAAGAGTTCAATTGAACTCTGGGACTACACGACGGCTTCGGTTCATAATTACATGTACCAGCGATGATAAAGAGGAGAAGGAGGACAAGGGGAAACGACAACGACAACGACAACGACAACGACAACGACGACGACGATGATGATGATGATGATGATGATGATGGCGTAGGAGTTGAAGCTTATGATGATGGTGACAATCACGATGATGACGTTTGGGTCAAATGATAGCAACATTACGACTTGCCTTGATTTCATTTTGCAGGATTTGATCTGGATTCACGGAGCCTGGTGAAATAGTGCAGTCGCTAACATTTCCCTCAAATGAAACTTCGATATGCAATGACACCTTTGTGGCTACCGAAGAATTCGTGCCATGATGCAAAGTTATACGGAGTCTAGTTATGTTTCTACCAAAAAAAATTGAAGACATTTAAAAAGTTGCTAAACTTTAATACGTCACGTTTTTATATATACTTCTCTTGTAAGTGCAAAGCTTTACCAGACAATTAGTCAAATTTTGAACGAAATTGATTTTATATAGCAACTTTGTCTTACTGTTATTATTGACTGGACAAAATAATTTGGTTAAAATAGTGGCTATATATCCATTTCACTCAAAACCTTTGGATACAACATGCATAAGATAATTACAATGAAAACAAGGAATTACCAAACAGGTAAAAAATATAATGGCCGTTTTCACACCCCGTTTTTAAGACGGTCAAGTCGTCAATCAGTAACATGCATTTTGTTTTTCGGGAATTTACGTCACACGACACATCAAACAACTTGGACGTCCAAATTTCTCTTCGTCCCGCTTTAACACTAAACTACTTGTCACTAAAAGTCAAAGGAGCTGCCTGATAACCATGAAAGCTTTCAGTCATCACAGAAGAGCTGTATACCATGTGTAACACGGCTGAACGGTTAAAAAAAAATACTGACTTAAATAACATTACCCTCGAAAAAGAGGCTCTCGGTCATCTACAAAGAGTTGAAGATTTAATTTTGGCCACTCAGCGCCTGATCCCTGCAATTTTTCATTAAAAATCATGCTTAACACAATATAATAAACTACATCCAGTTAAGTAATTTTTAGATGATTTCCTAACATGTTTTTAGACTGAATTCGTGAAAGCACGATGTTTTGACCAGTTTTCCGTTGGACAGATTTCTTCCAAGACGTCTGAAAATTTTAGAATACTTGTCATGAATGAAAATGTGTTTTATGCTATGTTTATACGTGTGGTGCGTCGCATGTCAGGACGTGACATTCCTTTTAGGATGAGGGGAAATCTCTGGAAAATCATGATATTACACGCCGTCAAATTGATTAATAACTGAAATCAAAATTCTTTTGTAGTCGTATTTTCAATTCCTCAACGACCAAACTGTCGTATACGCAAAGTAAAATAGTTACAGAAAAGCGTTGGTAGACAGTAATTTTCAAGTGGGGTTAATTTAACTCCTTACACCGGAGTCATTTTTTTGGGAGTTGTTTTAACTCCAAAAAGGAGTTTAAAGAATTCTTTTGCAGGAGTAGAAATCACCCCAGATTTGGAGTTAATATTGAGGAGTTAAAGAAACTCCCAAGAAACTGAGGGGTTATCCTGTACGTAAAATTTTTACCTTATTACTGGAGTTATAATATAACTCCCTAAAAATTACTGTGTAGCAAGCATTATAGTTTGTCAAGTAGATAAAAAGCTATTAAAATCAGCTGAAGCAATTTGTTGTCACAGAGAAAAAGACTAGAAAATTCATGGCCGACTTCAGAACAAAATAAACTGTCTGAGGCAAGTGGAGATGTGTATGATTTCGACAGACAAATCAAGCAGCTAAAAAAAAATTAAGACTTAATTCTTACTGTTTGTCACTTGACATGAATACCAAAAAAATTTTTGTTGTTGATATGCCTGCCCGAATTAATTCAGAATTTATAGGAAGTAGGAAGTCGCTGAGTCATCCACTGCACGGTGGAAGGTTCAATTATATTCTGCTACTTCACCCAATCATCATTCTTAGATCTTCTAAAAAGAAGTGGTCCTTATTTATTCTCTAAATACCACTAGAAAATTACTAAATTAAGTTAACTAGATAAGTCAATTTTATACCTCATCACTTCACAAATAAATGTTCTATTCCTTTAAAGGAGTACGTCTAAAATTGAGAGATAAATTCAGTATAAGACGAAAAACTTACTTTAGTGATAACCAACAGCGTAACAAAAACATTTACAAAACGTAAATTTTCCATATTACTTTAGATAGCTGGAATGGAACTGCATTTGAAGTCTTCTTCCTTCTTAATTTCTTCTGGATCGCATCTTATCTTCAATTTAAGAAGAGGCTTAATAAACAGCTGAAACAATTGAAACAGCTCTGATCTGTTAAGCTGACCTAAATAATGCTTATTTGTGTTCCTGTTTTTAATGCACCTTGAAGTTGACTACAATACGTATTTGTGTTCCTGTTTTCAATCCATCTTAATTTCGCATGCTTCTCTTATGATTGTCTGAATGTGGGGAATATAACAATAGCCTCGTTATTATTATTGAAGACGTCATTTAACTGATTTTATACAAATCGGTGTGATAACTTTCTAGTCATGTGGATAGCACGTGGATGAAATGTTTTCAACAACTTTCTCAGGTCAAAAAAGTTTACGTTTTCTTTGCGCAAGGCTTTCCTATTTTGGAAAAAACATATACAGGCCTTATTGAATTGCATTATTTGACTCCGAAAGTCGCGTGGAGAAATTTTAAACCAGTCAGTGTATAAACAAGGTCAAACAACAACAGTAGCAAGGA